ACTGAGAATACTTTCGCCTCTCTCCTCCCTCACATTTCCATGGAGTACAACGGGTAGGGGACACACCACCACTGAGAACAGTGGAGTCTAGCGGGTAGGGGACACAAGCCCCTGGCTTCGCCACTGAGAATGGGAGAGAGAAGTGGCCGGCAATCTGCGGCGATGGAGCTTGGACCCGCGTCGGGAGAATGAAAAGGCGGCAAGCAGTCACTCTCACAAGCTCTCTTTGTTCTTGTGTGTATTTATCTTCTTGTGTGTTTCTTGCTCATTCCATCTCTCTTTCACTCTTTGCTCCCATGGCCACCACCTTTGATCATGAAGTTACCGAGCTGTTCCAGATCCTTCAAGTGCAGCTCGGTCTTTGCTCCCATGGCCACCGCCTTTGATCATGTAGTTACCGAGTTGTTCCAAATCCTTCTGGTGCAGCTCGGTCTTTTCCTTTTTCCTTCTTGGCACCACCACCTTTGATCATGTAGTTACCGAGCTGTTCCAGATCCTTCTAGTGCAGCTCGGTCTTTTCCTTCTTGGCACGGGGGTCGTGCTGTTGCAGCAGACCTCGGTAGGAGGGCAGCGGAGCCAATGTGTGGCTAAAGTTTAAGTTTTTCAAAAAAATACTGTTTCTTGAGCACTTTTTGGTGCTTGCAATGTTTATTTGTGGTTTATTGATTTGCTTTGTCTGCTTCCGCCTCAAAGCTGATGGAGAGTTGTCGGCTCTCTCTGCTTATGAGGGTGAAGCTTAGGATGCTAATGTTCGTAGCAGTCGCTACGTCATTAGCTTCAACCGTTTTAGCTGCATTTACCTTTTATTACTTGATTGAAATCGAAGCATCTGTTTTCGCGTGTTTGAGTGTGGGAATTAGGATTTCTGTTTATGTTTCATATGCTTTCAGTGGTGCATTCTGTTTTTTTATATATTATTATTTGTTTAGGAATGTAGTCTACTCATATGCTTTCTGTGGTGCATTCTATATTTTTTATATATTATTATTTGTTTAGGACTGTAGTCTACTCAGATTAAAGGGGTGGGTACTTCGGGAATGAAGAATAGAGGGTGTGTACTTCGGGAGCAGTATGAAGTATGTGACGTGTGGGGGTCTAATGTACTTGTGGTGACTTCGGGGGAAGTATGAAGTATGTGACGTGTGGGGTCTAATGTACTTGTGGTGTACTTCTACTAATGTACTTGTGGTGGTGTAATGTACGAATGATGTATGAATGACTTACTATGAATGAAGAACGGGCCGGCAATCTACGGCGATGGAGCTCGGATCCACCCGCGTCGGGAGAATGAAAAGGCGGCAGTACGGTGGTGAGGGAGAATCATCGGCGACGTGCGACACTTCGAGAGGATCCTGGGGAAAATGCACGAGATATCCTCCCGCTCGATAATGCCATCCTCATGTCGGTGCTCTTCCTGTGATGGCATGACGCCATGCGGTCGCAGCTAGTGGGGCACTCTGAGCTAGTCGAGTTCACCCCCGACACCCAGCTGGAGAAGCTCGAGTACCCAGTGGAGCGGCTGGTGAGGCATCTTCTCCCTCGTTGTTGACCACTGCACAAACCGAATGAGAGGCGAGCTTGTCAGTCGCTTCCTCACCGGCGCTGAGCAGTCCACCGTTGAGCACCTCTACGTCCACCTGCGCAGCAGTTCGGTGAGGGACAGGGTCACCTTCTACTTCCACTATTTGAACCTGCTCCTTCGAGCCTCATGCTTCACGGGATCAACTTCTCTGCCCGATTTTTCTGGTGGGTCTCCCCGCCCTTCGCCCACCTCGCGGTGCTCCACCTCAACTCTGTCCGCATCACGTTCGATGTGTTCCATGGCATGGCCTCCTTGTGCTGGCCTGCTCTCCGCGAGAGTGTGCCCTTTGTAGGTTTGTTCCGTTAACCTTTCGTTTGCCCACAAGATGGATGGTTATCTTCAAATCGATCTAGATCAGCCTGATGGCTGGTTTTGATCTAGTTATCTTCAAATCGATCTAAATCAGCTTCGTGGCTGGTTTTTATCTTTAAATCGGCTCCGCTAGCTGGTTTAGTTTTACAAAACCTATCTTGATTGGCTTTTGGCTAGATCGAGATGGTTGACAACTCCATATCACCGCAAGGCGTTTAGGTATCCTGATTGTGATTGTCTTCTTAAAAAAAGGTTGTTGCTAACACTACCTGTTCTCTATGGCATCAGTAGTAAGCTCACCATCCTGGATTCCTAGTGGTGCATGCATTTCCTCCTTTTTTTTTTTTCGGTGTGAGCCACGGCACATTGGTAACATGCCTAGTGAGTAGTGATCTTAAGACCAGAACAAAACAAAATATGAAATTTCACTCAATTCTTACCACTTCACATATACAACTCATAAAATTAAGCACACAAAGTAAGAAAGCATGGATAAATATCATAATTGTCGTTTTACTTTTCTTTATTACAAGAAAATGAAGAGGATAAATTACACTATGCATCTCCACAAAGAAATTATAGTTTCTCTTTATAGATTAATTGTTTTGCACCCATGGCCATTGCACCAGGACACTTGCATGTACTACCTATACTCCCCCTGTCACAAATGCTTTGTGATTTGGGCTCCAAACTCCAACTTGTAACTCTAAACTTCAACTCTAGTGAGAGCTATCTCCTATTAGAGTTGGAAACTCGTTAAAAGTGTTTGGCTATATTTTCAGCTCTAGATCTGAAAAAAATAAAAAATGAAAAAAAAAACGAAACCAAGCTGTGTCGGCCCCAGCCGCGCCGGCGGCCGCCGGCCGCGTGCACCGCCCGTCGTCGTCCGTCGTCGCCCGTCGTCGCCCGCCGCCGCCCGCCGCCGACACCGACGTCGCCGCACGCTCGAGATTGGGACGAAGATGGGGGAGGAGAGAGAACAGGAGGAAAGAAGGAGTGAAGGGGTAGTTGAGTGGTATTTTCGTATAAATACACTAAAAAATTAGAGGGTAGTGGGTCTTTTGGGGTGGAGTGGAGCTGTGGAGCAGCAAAAATCCAGCTCCACCCCCGTAGTTCATTTTCTAAGAGTAGCTCTGCCAACTCCACTAAAAAAAAGATGGATCTGGACCGTTCGGCACAGCTCCGACTCCAAGTAAGTTGGAGTTGGGAGCTATAGCTGTGCCAAACGGGGCCTTATCTAGTGAACATTCGACTGTTAGGACCAATATATTTATACGTATTTACTTTTGGAGAGTATTCGTCTAGCAAATCCAGGAAATATGTCCTTTATTTTAATGGCTTATCCGGGTAGAGGGATTTGGATCATATTCCCTATGAAGATATGCTATAGTTAAATGAATTTTTTTTTATCTAAAACAAATAAAATGTTTCCAGAGTGTAGGGTACCGATCTAACGGCCGGTAGCAGGATCTCTCCGAGACCGTGTCATAGAATTGCTTGGTTCCACTATATTCCCAGGTTTCCAATGCATAGGCCCAATGTGGCAAAAGGCTGAATTGGTAAGTACTACTATATGCTGCGAGCCCATTAAGAAGCAGAGTTTAGGCCCAGGCTTTGAAATATGTTAACCCATGAAAAAGGAAAATAGATAATATGTAGTTCAACAAGGTTCAACATGAACCCATAAAGAAACCAAGAACAGATGAGCTCCTTTGATACACATGCTTAAAAAAATCACAAGAGTAAGAAAAGGTAGGAATATAATGTCGCTCATTAGATTCTTATGGAATTTCGGAACACATGAAAAAGTTTTAGACTATCGTTTGGATGGCATATAGGAAAATTCACGAACTCAAAACACACGAAGACGAACTCAAAACACAGGGAGAAGAAATCATGAGGAGAAACAACATGCTTATTTTTCTTTAAATTCCTCTAGAATTTCATAGGATTTTTTTTTAGAGAAATCGTAGAAATCAATCCATTGTTTCGATCTTCTATAGGATTATATATATTTCATAGGATAGAAATCCTCTAAAATTTCTATATTTTTCTTTGTTTCAAAGGTCCTTGAAATATTGGGGGAGATTATGCTTGTGTTTTCTCAAGCCTCTCTGTAGAAATACCATTTTTCATGTGTAAATGGGTGAACTTCAAATGTATTATTAGCTCGTAATCTCAACAAAATCAATTTTATTAATTTAGCCCAGCTTACAATTTTGGTTGATATTTCAATATTGTATTTTTCTAAGAACTAGGCTTCCTAAGATCCTAAGTTGAAGCATATTATATGGCATTAACACTCCCCTTTTAATAATTAATTACAGTATTTTATCAGAATTTCAAATTAGCCACGTTTCTAGCATAAATTAATTACGGCGTGTACAAATCCAGCATAAATGATTGCTATTTGGCGTATGTATGTCCTCGGTGTTTTTTTTTTACAAAAGTATTTATATAAAAGTTATCCGATGAAAGTGTCTGATAAAAGTTTTTCGGGTGAATGTTTTTTGGACGAAAGTTTTTCGGTTGAAAGATTTTGAGATGAAAGTTTTTTTTAAGAAAAAAAAAGGTGTGCGCTGAAAACACAAGTGCACCAAACAACGTATAACAGATAAATTTTAATTTTTTATATAAAAATAGAAATGTAAAAGGCTTGAAACTTTTATACAAATTTTCATGCTATGTAAGGATGCCACATAAAAGTTTTCATATTTTTTTTGAAACTTCTAATGAGATAACTTAATTGTTAACTTTGTACGTGCATAAGGGTATTTTAGGTATTTTTAAAAATAAGGCTCAACCCAATAACATATTGTACAACAATACAACAACTGATAAAGTCGCCGGTATATTATAGAAAGAGACAATGTGATGGTAAATCGTTAAGATTCTCTTTTTCCTAAATCGAAAGACCTAAGGCCGCTGTACAAAACGAAAATTTTATCAGGTATACTACCTGATTATCTGCAACGACGCTACGTACGATAGGAATAATTTGTGAAACATAGCAAACAATTTGGAGGGCATGTTAACAAATAAACGGAGATCGGAAGAGCCAAAGCGCACTGATTGACGAAAAAATTAAAAAAAAGTTTCCACAAAGTTCCTGCTGGAAAATTTGATGATTTATTTCCCACTTATATCATCATATACAAATACTAACACATGCGAAAATTATCAAGCAGAAAAGTTCCATACAAATTCATCCAGACAAACAAGTGTAAAAAACCTTTTTTTTCCCATTTCCCCCTTGAACTATCCGTAAATACCACCATTCCACCAAACTCCCCTCTGTCTTCTACGACAAATAATCTTTTCAACCCAGTAACTTATAATTAATTACAGAGAGATTAGCAAACATATAATGGTAAGAATCAGTTGTCGTAGGTGCGGCACTCGTCGGTCTCCGGGTTGTCCTTGCAGTAGGCCTCGAGCGGGTCGGAGGTCTCCTTGAGCTTGTCGCGCGCGTGGCTCGCCGCCGCGCTCAGCTCCTCCACCTCGTCCCACGCCGCCGCGCACTCGCCGCTCGCCGTGTCCTCCGCGCACGCCTCCTTCGCCTTGTCGATGCTCTCCGACATCTTGTCCGAGATGTCCGGCGGCGTCGCCGGCCCGCTCGCCCTCACCGCCGCGAACCCGCCGCGGCCAACACGGGGAAACACCACGCGTCCAGCTCCGGCGACCGGCCTAACGAGGGACGACGCCGCCGCCGCCGGGGTAGACAGGCCGACGTTGGTCAGCGTGGACGCCATGGCTGGCTGTTGATGCGGATTTCTGCGTGTGATGTGGGCGTTTGTAGCTGTTGCGACGAGGCGTTCGTTGCACGGATTGAAGAGATGGGGTTTATATATATATAGCTCCGTGGGGTGGGGGAGAAGGGGAGAGAGGATTCGACGACGTGCACTCGTTTCTTATCGCCTCCTCAGCCAATCGTCGTGTGCCACGTGGGCTGTATTTTGAGATATTTCATGCGAAATGGGGACTTGGCAAAGGAGATCTTTTTCTTTTCCCTTGGGTGAATCTAAGGTGAGAGAAGCAGTTTTAATTTGACCGTGAAAACATGAGCAGATGACTGTGGGTGTGTACATGTATGCAGAAGTTCAGGTTGGATACGAAATTGATGTAGAGGTTCGTGTTGTGCCAGCAAAGAATGGCTTGTAGGGAAGTGAACTCGGTCTAAGGCCAGAAAGATCACTTTCGGTCTCGAAAATATCTGAGATACTATGGAAAAGTTTGGTGAAGAACGGACAAAATGAAACGTCCTAGATATCTCAACTATTTTGGTGGAACAGAGTTATTTAGTGTACAGGTGCAGAGGTGCTCAAATTATTTGGTGAGTAGCAAATTATTTTTCATTTTGCCCAATAGGTGCGTATGGTTCTTTCTTTGTAAAGTTTTTAGATTGGGACTAAGCTAGCTCGGATCAAGAGCGGAATTGAGGTGGTAAGAGAAGTGGAAACCAGATGGCCTTGAAGTTGTCCCCGCAACCTGGACTTCCTGAGTTCGGACCAACAAGACAAGCCTCTTGCAAGGCCCAGTTACAGCCGGATTAGTCGCTTATAGGCCCACAGTTGACTGGGCCTTAGGCCCATGCTGCCACCCTGCCGAGAATTTTTTTTATTTTTACATTTTTTGATTAAAATATTTAAAAATAATTTTTCATTCCGAAAATTTACAAATCTAGTCGTGCCTCACGTCCTCCTAGAGGGCTTTTTTCAAATCACCCTTCCAGAGGGCGTTAGGGACCTAAATACAAATTTTCCATCATAGCTTGCTACCTCTATGATTTTACAATTTAAAACTATATCATATAAAGCCATATGAAATTAAAGTTTATATCAAAATTGTAGAGCTGGAGAAGATCTACAAGTTTGTAATTAACAACTTTCATTTAAGATCGTTTAGATGTCCAAATATTCGTTACAAAATCTAAAACCTATTTAAAAAAATTCTCAGAACTACATTTCAAACGACATTGGATGGAGATAAACTTTATAAAAAAGATATAGATCTCGATGAGATCTACAACTTTGTAGTTTATTACCTTTTCATTTAAAATTATTTGGAGTGTCAAATAAGCATTATTAGCTTTTAAGCAATTAAAACTGGTGGAAAGGGTTCGAATACAAATAAAAATTTTGCATTTAGGTCCCTTAACGCCCTTTAGAAGGGCGATTTAAAAAAACGCCCTCCTAAAGGATGTTAGGCGTCTAGATTTGTAAATTTTCGAAAAAAAATTTTGTAATTTTTTAATAATAAAAATGTAAAAAAAATTCCCTGCCAAGTACATATGCCAAGATGGATTCCACTGTAGTTCTAAGTTCTAAGGGGCTGTTCAGATTGTAGTTCTAAGTTCTAAGGGGCTGTTCAGATTGATGTCATTTTCAATCATACAACTTTTTTGGTAAAGTTGCCAAAAAAATATCTATGTTTAGTTTGTTGCCAAATTTGATAAATACGTAAGAAATCCTGCCAAAATTTTGGCAATATTGTCAACTTGACAAAATTTTGGTATTGTCAAATTTTGATAAGGTTTATTTTGGCTACAATCTGAACAGGCCCTAAAATAAAATCTATTATATTATTAAAACAGCTTTGAAAATAGTCACCACGTTCGCTGTGGGGGCTAGAAATTCCCACATTAATCGAAGAAAAAGAAAAAAAGAAAAGGAGAGTCCAAGTAGAAATACGATTTAAAAATAGCTGAAATTCGGAATTGAAAATAAGCAATATTGAAAGAAGTTTCCATATAAGAACCCAATACGAGATTAATCAAAATTCAAAAAAAAAATCCAAAATTAGAAAAGGAAAGGAGAGTCCAAGTAGAAATACGATTTAAAAATAGCTAAAATTCGGAATTAAAAATAAGCAATATTGAAAGAAGTTTCCATATAAGAAACCAATACAAGATTAATCAAAATTCAAAAAAAAATAAAATAAATCCAAAATTAGAAAAGGAAAGGAGAGTCCAAGTAGAAATACGATTTAAAAATAGCTAAAATTCAGTAAAAATAAAATAAAATCCAAAATTAGAAAATGAAAGGAGAGTCTAAGTAGGAATACAATTTAAAAATAGCTGAAATACGGAATTAAAAATAAGGAATATTAAAAAAAGAACCATATAAGAACCCAATACGAGATTAATTAAAATTCAGAATAAAAATAAAAATAAATCCGAAATTAGAAAAAGAAAATAAAAGAAGAGATCAAGTAGGAATTCAATTTAAAATTAGCTGAAATTCGGAATTAAAAATAAGCAATATTGAAAGAAGAATCCATATAGGAACCCAATACGAGATTAATTAAAATTTCGAATAAAAAATAAAATAATATCTAAAATTAGAAAAACTAAAAGAGAGTTCAAGTAGGAATACAATTTTGAAACAACTGAAATTAAAAATAAAAAATAAAAACATTAAAAGAACATAATACGGTATTAACTAATTTTTTTAAAAAAACAAATTCTGAAATTAGAAAAAAGAAAAATAAGATTTCAATTAGCAATACAATTTATAAATAAATAAAAATTGTGATAAAAATAAAGACTATTGAAAGAAAATACCATCTAAAACACATGATGAGATAAAATTAAGTAACGGGCCTATAAAGGAGTAAAGTGGTGGCGGTTGATACGATATATAAAAATTGTTAATAAAACACTAAATAGAATCCTAATGACGATTAAAAGGAGGGACGTCAGGCATGTCGTAAAGCAAACAAGTAAGGCGGTTGCCGGGACTTCTAGAAAGTAAAAAAGAAAAACCATTGATAATCATATTTGATTTTTAGAATCTCAATGACAATAAAAAGGAGAAGCAGCGGGCGGGGTGCATAAGAGTATAGTTGCAGAGTCGCCGACGGTTGATGGGACTTCTATAAAATAAAAAATGAATTCTAACGATAGTTATGTTTGATTTTTAGAATCACAGTAACAATAAAGAGTAGGCAGCAGACGGGCTGTAGAGGGGCATAGTGGCATCGTTTGATGGGACTTCTAAAAATTATAAAAAATAAAACTACAAGTCCAATTTTTAAAGGTTCAGAACTTTTAAAAAGTAAAAAAAAACAACGATAATCATGTTCGATTTTAAAATCTCAATGATAATAAAGAAGGGAGGCAGTGGGCGAGCCGTAGAGGAGTACAATGGCAAAGCTGCTGACGGTTTGGCGGTACTTTTAGAAAGTAAAAAATGAACCCAAATGATAATTATCTTTGATTTTTAAAATCTCAATGACAATAAAGAGAAGAGACAGTGGACAGGCCGTAGAGGAGTATAATAGCAATATTCGACGGGACATCTAGAAATTATAAAAACGAAACCCAACGTGAAATAAACTCTAAAAACTATAAAATCCAATTTTTAAAGGTTCTAAGAAGAATGAATAGAAATGAATAGAAATAGTGATAGATCGAGTAAGCAAATAAAGAAGAAATAAAGAAGGAGATGACATCAGGGGTAGCAACTGGTGTGACTTTTAAAAACTATATAATAGAAACACGAGGATGATAAGGTTTGGTCTTTCAAAGTCTTAAGACAATGAGATAGCTATTTAATAAATTTTAAGTAAAATCATACTAAAAGAATATATGATTTTGTTTGGGTACTAGCCGCGCTATTGCGCGGGCCAACCAGCTAGTTAAAAAAAGATGGATTCTACTATGGCCTGCGGCTTACTCTCTCGTCTTAAAAAAATAAACACATTCTAATACTACAAATCAGCGTATACTCTTGTATATTACTTCCGTCCAAAATAAACCAATTTACATAAGGATGGGACATAACCTAGGACAGCGATCACATTCTTTCTTCTTTTTTTCAGAGGGAGTAGATTCGTAGGGAGTATCATGTTCAGTCGCAGACACGAGTGTGATATCGCATTACCTGATTATCATCAGTCATCACCACCACTAACAACAACTGTATAGACACGTTATCTATTTACTTTTCGTTATATACCAATCTGAAAAAGAGGGCGAAAAAAACAGTACTAGCACCGTACCGTAGCAGCAGGACTGGACACGAGTCTTGCCAAACTCCGTGGAGAATGATCAGAACTCCACCACTAGAGATGGCAACGGGGAATTCCCCGTCGGAGGTTACACTACCATACCCGCCTCCGTGGAGGAGAATTTTCCCCATCACCATCACCGTGAAATGCAACGGGGCAACATCTTTCACCATCACCGCCTCCGTGCGGGTAATTTATCCCCGTGGAGCCTCCATCCCCGCGAGTCTCATGTATACATTTCACATATCAAACAATAATTTTGATACAAATATTATCAGTTTATCACTCAAAATAGCAATTCCAGCCATGATTTCAGCACATGACAACAACATAATCAAATGCACATCATCAGTCATCACGTATTCACTTACAACGGCATTGCCGCAAGCCAGCAACAAGCAGTACAATAAATTTGTGCCCAGGCAACAAGCAGTACAAGCAGACGACAGCGGCGCTTCGACCTGCTGCGGCGGCGCCAAGACCTGCTGCGGTGGCGTCGGGACCTGCTGTGGCGGCGCTGGGACCTGGCGGCGTGGTGGCCCTGCGCGGGAGTGGCCGAGGGCGCGAGGGCGCGGCCGCGGCCGAGCTGCCGAGGGCGCGGGCGCGGTGAGCTGGCGACCCTGCGCGGGCACGGCGCCCGGCGAGAACGCGAGATCGGGAGTCGGCACCGGCACGCCGACGGCGTGGGGGCTGGAGGCGGAATGGAGAAAGGATTGAATGGTTAGGGTTACACAATTGCTTTATATACTCTATTTTTTGGGCCTAGTTTTTATGGGCCATATGGGCCAAATACACAGGATGATACTATACACATACTATTATATCGGGCCTCCACGGAGAGCGGGGACGGGGGACGGTGAACCAAACCCGCCCCCGCCAGACCCGATGGAGACTACTTCCTCTCCATTTGATTCCCCATGGAGACACAATTGATACCATCACCATCACCTAATAGGAGAATTCTCCACGGGGGACCGGGGAGCGGGTACCCATTGCCATCTCTATCCACCACTGCCTCCCCTCCAAGGCACGCACTAATCTGTACACGATTCATCTGCTCAGATAAGCTACTAACTTACACAGTTTTGCATGCATTGCTATATCTCTCTCTCGTCGATCTGCAGATCGACCAAGCAATACACAATGGCCACTCGGGCAAACGGCAGCTCATGCTCCCTGGCCAGCCTCATGGCGGCCATCTTCTTCCTCCTAGTCGTCTCCTCCCGGGGCGCCCATGGCGGCAGAATTGCCATCTACTGGGGCCAGAACGGCAACGAGGGCACCCTCGCCGACACCTGCGCCACGGGCAACTACGCCTTCGTCAACCTCGCCTTCCTCTGCAGCTTCGGCTCGGGCCAGGCCCCGCAGCTCAACCTCGCCGGCCACTGCGACGCCTACTCGGGCGCCTGCGCCAACCTCACCGCCGACATCGCCCGCTGCCAGTCCATGGGCGTCAAGGTCCTCCTCTCCATCGGCGGCGGCGCCGGCGGCTACTCGCTCGCCTCCAAGCAGGACGTGTCCCACCTCGCCCGGTACCTCTGGGAGAGCTTCCTCGGCGGCCGCCCGTCGGCGCCGGGCGGCAGGAGGCCGCTCGGCGACGCGGTGCTCGACGGCGTCGACTTCGACATCGAGGGCGGCGGCGGCGACCCCCGCTACTACGGCGACCTCGCCGCGTACCTCAAGGCGTACAGCGGCAAGGGCGCCGCCGGCAAGGAGGTGCTCCTCTCGGCGGCGCCGCAGTGCCCGTTCCCGGACCAGTGGGTCGGCAAGGCGCTCGACACCGGCCTGTTCGACTACGTGTGGGTGCAGTTCTACAACAACCCGCCGTGCCAGTACGCCGCAGGGAGCGGCGGCGGCGCCGCCAACCTGCTCGACGCATGGCGCCAGTGGACGTCGGGGGTGGAGGCCAGGTACATCTTCCTCGGGCTGCCGGCGTCGCCCGGCGCGGCGGGGAGCGGGTTCATCCCGGTGGGGAGCCTCGAGTCGCAGGTGTTGCCGGCGCTGAAGGCGTCGAGCAAGTACGGCGGGGTGATGCTGTGGTCCAGGTACTACGACGATCAGGATGGATACAGCTCCGCCATCAAGAATGCCGTCTGATTTGATCGATTGATCGATCTCTCGTGCCTCTGCACGTTGTGATTCTATCTGTGTACATTTATCTGCTTCGATTCCTACTCGTAGTTTATCTGTATGCATGAGAGATTGAGAGATTATATGGAAATAAACGATTATGCCACATCTACAAGCTTGGTTTACTGAGGATTATCCAATAAAGAACTGTTCTTAGTTTTAAAAAAAATGTTCTTAATTGAGCTAAGTTGCTGCGTACTCTCTCCATCTATCTATGTATCTATTATATTATAAAAACAATCTTAAAAAACACCACGTTCAATGTTAAAACTAGAAATTCACACATTAACAGCAGAAAAAGAAAAAGAATCATAAATATTGATCACGGTTATAATCCGGACCCACCATGATCAACGGTTTTGGACTGGGCACCCAACCAGTTTTATAGGATAACCCTCATGGCGATAGATGAATTACATAAAGGTCGTGATATTTTGAGAGAAGGACAAAATAAAAGATTCAAAAAGCAATCGGGTCCTTCTTCTTCATCTGTCTTGCACAATTGCCTCGTTGATTCTATGTGTCATGGTTACGGATAAGGCATACATTCTATCCTATGACTCATGGAATATATGCATACGGCATACCTTCGTATGTATGATATGTTTCCGTGTACAATAAGAAAATCGATAAGAGCTTATAGAAATAAATCTCACAGGCAAATAATGTGATAGGGTTCTACTTGGAGAATGTTAGAATTATACCATATCGTGCAGGGTCCAAGGTCTCTGAGTTTTACTTAGAGACTAAGGGAATTCACGATATAACCAAGGCATCGAGTCATAGCACTAGCCAACCCGCCACTTCATAAGCAATCCGGAGAACTTGAAGCCTATTTGCCAGGAGATCTCGTCGAATCCTTCTTGACAAGAATCTCGTCGGTAACATCGGGATCAGTTGTTCTCTATTTGTAATCTGTGGATTTTCATATCAATCTTATATAAATTGGATTAGTGCTATTACCTTACCAGGGGCCTAAACCAGTATAATTATTGTCTTCTTGTTTGCTTGATGTTGTATCGTGTAGATCCTCGTACCAACATACCTAATACCCTATTTATCCGGCCTACGGGTATCCTCCGTCGACACTATGGAAAGCAGCGCCGAATGCAACCATGGCAAGCTGTAGTTGAAGAAGCATTGGCACAATTCCAGGGCCTCAGAGAGGTTGTGCCCTTGGCCGACACAAAAAAAAAATCAGCTTAACCCTAAAAGAGCACCGTCGGATATGAAGCAAACAAACAACACTGCAACAAAACTACCAAGATTGGTGGCCATGTCAATCCACCGACAGCAAGGAGAAAACAAGCTATTGCATTTGGAGCCTAGAAGCTTATCCAATCAACCCATGAACTGAGCCATTATTGGGGCCTTCAATCATTGAAAGGTTGGAGCTTCTTCAACAAAGCTTTTCATGCTTAGCTGCTTGACAAGAGTGTACCGCTAGAAAGAATGAAGAAGACCACCTCTTTCGATGCACACACTCTGGAGATGAGGAAGATGACCGACGTGACCTTATTGCTGATCCATCTAGCTGACTCCTAGTGGTTGACAAAGTAAATCAACCATAAACATAGAGGGAAGAGATTCAAGAAGATCCAGCGACAACCGCCATGGATTCTTGGACGAGAAAGAGGATGCCAACTACTTCTTACTCAAACAAAAGAAGGAACCATGGGAAGAACCCGAAACGACGAGATAAACCTAAAAACTACCAATGATTTACAGATATGGGAGTAGGGTCGACCCCTCTCTGTAAAAGTTTATAGGAAAGGGAATGTAGAAGTTTTTAGATATTTTTCCAATTTGTTTAAGCATTTTCTATGTCTTTAGGAAAAAAATATATTTGAATTTCTTGTTGGCTTCTCGATAAAATCAATCAGGTTTCAATATCAATAGGTGTTTTCACTTGCTTATACTTTCAATTACACTTTCAATTGCTGGTCGGAATTTCAGCTTTTCCATTCCAAAAGTAAAAAGCCGATAGGTTTTCGACAGAAGACCGACCGAAACCAGGAAATTTGAACTTTAATTTTTCGCCTATAAAATTTGGTCAGAATCTGTCGGTTTTCGATCGAATTTCGTGATACCGGCACCACCAGTTGTCCGGCATGCGATGTGGTACCGAGACCGGCAGCACGGAAACCGGCCTAACCACCACCATCAACTCATTCAACTGCCAAAAGCGTCAAAGGTTTGTCTCTGCGGACTGCGGTTTTACCCCACGGAGAAAAAGGCCGCCCCTCCCGCCCCAGCCACAGCGACGAACCACCGCCCCGGAGGCCGCCGGCGTCGAGCTCCCCTCGCCCACAGCGTGCTCCACCGAGCTCCCCCCCCCTCGTCTCCTCCACCAGATCGGTGATCTGATCCCCGCCTCCACCATACAGCCAGATCCGTCGCCCCGCCGCCCCCCTCCGACCTACCCGTCCCGAGGCGGCGGGGAGTGGATGGCGGCGACGGTGGAGGAGCAGATGGTGGTCAAGGCCATCCGGGAGGAGTGCCCATGGGAGTCGCTCCCCAAGCGCCTCCAGTCCACGCTCCACACCAAGGAGGAATGGCACCGCAGGTTTACTTGCCTCGCCTCTACTCTCTTCCATGGATTTTTGATCCTGCTGCTTGCTTCGACGCAGCTTGTGGTAGTTTACTACTAGTCGGCCTCCGAGATCTAGGGAGATATACACCAGTAGAGGCAATGCCGTTTGGAGTTCTTGCCTCAGACTGATTAAAGCTCGTTGCACCAGCTGGAAGCTCTTGCCTAGATCTCGCCCATTTGCTAGCCGCATTTGGGCAGGAGCACTCACTTCGGAGATGCTTGTGTTGATCTCAATTGTGGTGGGGGACTAGACAATCGCTGGGTTGTCCTATAGGATAGCCGGATAGATGGATCCCTGTGCACCTGTAGTTACTTCTAGACAACACTTATGAAGCTTTTGCATTCGTAAATAGTACTTGATAGGTAGTGGGGATTGAAGAATTCCAAGCTTCAATTGATTCTGAGTGAGGTCAGGAACTCCGAGATCTAGAAAGCACGTGATATCCAGTTTTTAGAAATGAGCAGCGCATTGGATTTGATTGGTCTTTCACCCTGTATGATCTTCTGCTTAGTTATCACTACGACACTTGCTAGTATACTGGATGTTGGTGATGATTATACTGATTGGAATTTATCGTGTTCATCTTATTTAGCATGCAAATAACAATTCTTCATGGGTTAAAGCACATGATATCCATTGAAAGGATGCAGGAAAGTCCGTTAATAACCTGAATTGATGGCAATCATTAGTGAAATGTTTGTCCCTTTCAAAGTTACCTCCTTGAAAATGTGCTGAGAATAGACAGTCTCAAATGCCAATTCTATAGATCATGTATCGCAAGGTGATAAAAGAGAAAACCTTGCACTTCCCAGTCCCTATAGGTCTATCGAAAGAGCTGAATTATTTTTGTCATGTCTGCGAAAACAATTCACATAACTGATGATGATCACTATAAGGGGAGTTACAAACGTAGGGGATTTACAATTAATCATCACAACTCATTTCCACTTGGCTTACACCGAAGTACATTTGGAGTTGCAATGTGACTTTGTAGAAACTAAGTAGAAAGGAATCTAATCGTGTAAATCAACAAACATACTTCCATCACCATCGATGGCATTCAGATCACATAAATAAAAGAAATTAATGGCTCAATGAAGGGAGAAAATTACATTTGTATATCAGCAAAAAAATCCTTTTGAGCTAATGTACACACATACATCCTGGTGCATTCCTTATAAAGGCCTTCTTGGATGACTGTGTTCAAGTACTTAGGTGTATTAAACTATGAAAGTATGAATTGCTTTCCTATTACTTTTGTTGATGTAGAGTAAAATTTACTGGCCTAATCTCCAGTTAATAATTTGATGGCAGGATTGTGGATTACTGCATCCGAAAACGATTACAATGGAATACTTGTTTTGCTCGTAGAGTGTGCAGGGAAGGGGAGTACTATGAGGAAATGATGAAATACCTCCGGAGGAATCTTGCAGTATGTTCCTGAATACTACCTCTTGCATGGTACCATTTTGAGATAATCCATGAAATGCCATTGACAAGCATCTAAGTCCCAGAAATGCCATCGACAAGTGTGAGTTCCAAGAAATGCCATCGTAAAAGCGATTTTGTCCCAAAAATACCATCGCCGTTAGGGTTCCGTCCATTCCGCGCCGTTAAATACACTGTTCATCCTATAGAACTTAACGACGTGGAATGGACGGAACCCTAACGGCGATGGCATTTTTGGGACAAAATCGTTTGTACGATGGCATTTCTTGGAACTCACACTTGTCGATGGCATTTCTGGGACTTGGACGCTTGTCAATGGCATTTTATGGATTATCTCTATAATTTTAGGTTAGCATATTCAGCAATTATGCAAAAGTATGGTTGTACCTCTTGGGGCCATGATTCATTCTTCTATTGATAATCACCCCCTAGCTAGCATTATTATATCCGTGTTTTGATAGTCGAGATACTTTGCTTGACCATATCTGTTATTTTTTCTATGGAGGGTTCTCTAATTATTTCTGCAAGCTTCTGTAGCTGTTCTATTGACGTGCTAAATTAGTATAGAAGAAAAGCAATGGTCTTGTATATTTGAAGAGTTTGTGCAAAAGTTCTGATGATCCTCACCTGATACACAATATCACAACGTTTTGCAGTTATACCCGTATCATCTTGCAGACTATATCTGCCGAGTTTCGAGGATCTCACCATTTAGATATTATTGTGACATCTTGTTTGAAGCTATGAAGAATGGTAATCTCTTGTTAATAGAAATAGTTTCTTTCATGTCATTTATGTATTTGTTTAGCATCCTCGTATAAAGATCACATTTAATTGGTTAATTATTTTATGTCTTATTTGACATATAATAACAATAAAAAAGGTATTACATTGGTTTCTATTTTATGTTACTACAACATCGGGCAATTCCTGGCCTAAGGGGGTTTTCTTTTAGTTGCAGAACAGGGCAATGTATTGATAGACAATTCTTCCATCTAGTTTTACTATTAAGTTCTATGGGTACCTCAGGGTGTACAGAGTCCCTGTGCAGGCAACTATTATGTACAAAGTTGCATAATTGTTTTTTGTTTCATCCTATTTTGTGATAGTTTTGTGTAATCTATGTCGTTTTTAGTTGAATACCTCTGTAACAGCATGGAAACAATATAAATAAGCTTTTATTTTTGCCAAATTACAAGAAATGTGATTTTACTCTTTTAGGTTTGTTCAGCATAGCTCTTAGAATTAGCCTTTATCTTCAACTGATTATTTCTGATGGCAATAATTTAGTAATCACTTTGAAACATGGAGGTGACTATCATAAATGAGTATACTTCCACCTGCTTTATTCATCGATGTTGTTCCTGTTTATAGTTCTGACATGTTTTGGTTATGTTATTGCAGAGCAACCATATGACAGTATTCCAAACTTCACTGCTGCTGATGCCTTGAGGCTTACTGGCGTTGGAAGAAATGAGTTCATTGATATTATGAACAAATGCAGATCAAAGGTAGTATCCATTCTCATGGCTTTTTGCACATTACCACCTGCTCTTACCTTGAAAACCGTAAATTGTTTTCAAATAGTTCACTGTTTGACTTCTGGAGTAATCTGCTACACACTGAAACAATATTGGACAATTTGGAAGCTCGCAAGAAATAATAAAAACATTGGAATAATGGATATTACCTTGAACATATCTCAACTAAGCAGTAACTGAATCCTAAACCATTAAGCTTACTATTGTTTAGATGCACTTCTGCAGTGTCAGGCTGAATTTGAGTTATGAAATATAACGATTCTGTGTAAACAATGATGTGCAATTGTGCTAACTAGTTAGTCCAGTTCATGAGAAAAGTCATGAATGCACTACCAGGTTACCTTTTCTTTTTTTCAGTATGAATCTAGAGTGGTTTTTCATGATGTAGTAGTACTATTTTGTAGCAAGATCGATTACCCTAGCAAATAATACTATTTCTTGCTGAATTCTTCAGAAACTAATGTGGAAGCTGAATAAGTCAATTGCAAAAGAATTATTGCCTACACAGCCTGTTGACTTCCCAATCGATCCTTGGTGGGGAGTTTGTCTTGTGAACTTCACTATAGAAGAGTTTAAGGTCAGGTTTGCCCCACTCTCTATATGCTGTACATATCACAATATGTATATCAATGCGGTGAAACTGCTTTTGTTAGCTTGGAAGATAAACGAATTTCTCGAGTTTTTGTTTCTATATGAAGCTATTATTTCTTGATGAAATCTTTACATCTCATTGGTTGATTGTAGAAACTTTCAGAGGAAGAGACTGCAACAATAGACAAAATATGCAAAGAAGAAGCCAATTCCTATGTTCTATTTGACCCAAAGGTCATAGATGGCCTTTATAAAAGAGGTTTAGTGTATTTTGATGTGCCTGTTTACCCTGACGACCGCTTTAAAGGTATTGACCGTTTTAAATGATCTTTTCTAGTGAAAATCCAGTAAAATTAAGCTAATTGGTTGGCACTATTTTCTTTTGTATTGTATCTAGATTCTATACTCATGAGTTTACCTTGTTTAATACTTTAATGTCAACAAGTATGATATGAGTATACTCTTGTCTTGTAACTACTGACTGCCAAGGAATGTTTGAGACACTCCTTATTTCGTCATCTTATAATGAGCTTCCTATGTAAGAATAACTTATAAACTGTGCATGTAGTTTTATTCCTTCTTTTACTATAGTAAGCATGTGTTTTTCTGTTTTCAACTAGGAAAACTTGTATTTATGTTACTTCTCTAGTTTTAAAAGATGTTATATTGTTCTGTTTCAGTTTCCAGGCTCGAAGGTTTTGTTTCTAACAAGGATCAATCATATGAAGACCCAATCGAAGAGTATGTACTAGTAGTGCTTTCAGTTGATATTCAAATCAATTTTACTTGTAATTTTGTGCTGCCATCAAAGTGAGTACTGCTTACCTTTTTTTTCTTTTATTTCAGGCTACTTTATGCTGTATTTGTTGTGTCAAGTGCCAATGCTACTGTAGCTGAATTGGCTGCAACTCTACTAGCTGACCTTTATCAGCTGCAAGCAGCTGCGTCGTTTGCTTGTCGACTGGGCTGGGCTGTAAAACTTATGGATGCTGACTCTGTACTTGAAGATGCACCCACTTTTCCCAGTAACATTCTGAGTGATGATGAAGAAGGTTCAAATGCAAGCATCAATTCAGAAAAGTCTGGCCAACAGTTGCTCAGTGTTGATGCTGGACCAAGGAAAATATCTGGAACTGCCCATGTAGCGTTGGTTGTGGATGCGAATGTTACTTCGTACTTGATGATGGGCTCATTGTCACCAGGTTAGACATTTTATTTTTATTTAAGATGTGAGAGAGGAGATTTTGAGCTGAAATCTTGTATTCTACATTAGGTAATGTCTTACTTTCTGTACTACCAGCTAAATGCCGTGCACCTGCCACAGTAAAATTGAATCATAATTCATACAAGTCGTAGTGTTGTTCTGAACAAAATAAATAAATGTCAATCTTTTTTTGTTAAGGACAACCTTTATGTTTTTGTCCCAGGGAGCACTTCTAGAATTAGCTTTAACCAGTTGGTAACCTGTGCATTTGCATAGATTATTTTTATTTATACTATATGCTTGTATTCAAATTTTGTTATGTACACTTATAGTTTTTAAGTACGAAAGAACAATAAATTCAAGCATCAGAACTAATAAATATAAAGTCATGTCTGTCATGGAATCTTGAATTTAGTTTTTCTTGATTAAATAATCTTAAAATTCGTAATTAATAAATGCAAGATTGTACTGGGTTTTGTGTCGCAGTCATTGAATTAGTAAGTAATGAGTTGTACCCATCTTACAGTCTCAAAATTAATATTTTTTTCATAATTTATATAATTCTGAAATTCGAAATTAACAATTACCTAGTTGTAACTTATGTGAACTCTTGTTTTTATCTGAGCCATTATAATTCGGTAGCACTTAGATGGATGGCCACATTTTATCACAATTTCCTCGACTAATATAGGATTCCTCAGATTGCCCGATTCACATGGGTATAGATAGATACTACATTTTTTCTCTCGAATACACAGGAGATCTGCGTACCACTATATTAAAAAGAAAGAGAAGGTAGAACCCCGTGTACAAAACGTCAAAACCAAACACGCACACACCGAGGTCTAGGAACCATGCGTGTCGCAAACCAGACCACAAACACAAAAAGGAAAAATGACCACGACCACAAACCAAACCATGATGTGAGACTAACCATCCAGCTTAGCCCCCGAGCCCTGGCCAAACACCACAGCCATCCTTCCTCCTTGGCAAGTTAAAGAGCACTGGCCAAGTTAGGAGCAGCCCCATACAAACACAACGGTTTCGATGCTTGGTAATTTGGTTACCTTGGAACTTGTACTATCTCCGTTCCCCCAAAACTTCATTTCTGACTATGCTCCTGGATATAGTCAAGGGTATATATAAGAAAATAACGGTACTTGATATTATATAATATTTAAGAACATCAAGAAGCACTTGGTAAAAATATACTGTAGTGTGGAGTAGGTAGAATGGCAGATTCACTGTCACTACCACCATTGGCTTCTTTTAGGACAAGAGATTATTTGGTGTAATGATCTCGCCTTCTTTTGTACATTAGTTATTCGAATTGCAGCTTTTCTGTACTGATTAATAGTTCATGTAGTCAAGTAAACATTACGTACTGTACTAGTACTACTGTTCTGAAACCTTTTTCAATGTACTGCAGGTTTAAAATCTCATGCTGTCACACTATACGAAGCTGGAAAATTAGGTGATTCTTGCATTGCAGAACTATGCAGTGATCTGGCTAGTTTGGAAGGGAAGAAGTTTGAGGGTGTGCTTGAGGAGTTTGCTAATCATGCATTCAGTCTTCGATGCTTCCTGGAGTGTTTACAATCTGGTGGAGTTTCTACCAATGTGAATATTGATAAAGCTGGTGAAGCAAAGCTTACAACAAGCTCCTTGCAAGATAATGTTACTGCCCATTTGACCAAGATAAACATTGAGGACACTGATGAAATGCCCCAGCAGAAGCACTCTGGTTTAAATAGTAGTGATGGGAAAATGTTGACTTCATCAGCGACTTTATTGGAAAGTGGAGAAGGCATGGAGGGAAATGATGTTGAGGGTAGTGGCACCACTGAACTAGATGGCTCAACTGACATCAATGTGGTTAAGACTAAAAGGAAGTACAGAGTTGATATCCTCCGATGTGAGAGCTTAGCTTCACTTCCACCAGCAACACTGGAACGGTTGTTTCTCCGGGACTATGACATCATTGTGTCTATGGTTCCTCTTCCTTCTTCATCAGTTCTTCCTGGTTCGTCAGGCCCAATTCATTTTGGTCCACCCTCATACTCTTCCATGACACCTTGGATGAAGCTGGTTTTGTATACAGCAGGGGATTGTGGACCATTATCTGCTGTTTTCATGAAAGGACAACGCATTAGATTGCTTCCTAAACCTTTAGCCGGTTGTGAGAAGGCACTGATATGGTCTTGGGATAGCTCTGTGGTAGGTGGGCTAGGAGGGAAGTTTGAAGGGAACTTAGTCAAGGGCAACCTGTTGTTGCATTGCTTGAACTCAATGCTTAAACAATCAGCTGTTATGGTGCAACCACTTAGTGTAAATGATCTTAATGCATCAGGAAACCTTGTCACAGTGGATATCCCTTTGCCCCTGAAGAGTGATGATCAGTCAATTGCATCTGTGATAGCTCAAACTAATTTGCCACAAGAACAGGTCTTAAATTTGGCCTCTGTATTAAAAGACCTGTCCAGTAAATTTGAGTTGAGTACACTTGGCTACCTTCGGTTATTAAGACTTCATAGGCTTACTGAATCGGATGAATCACACCTAGAAAATGGAAGTTACCAGTGGGTGCCTTTGAGCTTGGAGTTTGGAATCCCCTTGTTCAGTCCAAAATTATGTGAGCGGATTTGCGAAAGGGTGGTCGAATCCTGTATACTTCAAAAAGAGGATCTCGCTGAACATTATGATGTGATGCAAACTGTAAGGCGGCGGCTAAGAGAACTTTGCAGTGAATATCAGGCAACTGGTCCAGTTGCTAAGTTGTTCAACAAGCGAGGAAGCTCAAAGGATTTGCCCCGTGTTTTAATCAACACCATCAGTGGCAGATGGAATCCAGTTAATGATCCTTCAGCACCAAGTGAACATGAGAGGCTGAAACTTGCTGGACGGCAGAGATGCCAAACAGAAGTCGTGGGATTTGATGGGACCTTTATCAGGTATTTGTGTTTGTATTTAGAGTTCATGATTTTGTTCTGGAACCATATATGATCTTTCTCATTTGTTTATTGGTAACAGCTAACAAATGTTCATGTTCTTATACCTCAAAAGGTCATATGCACTTCCTCCTGAGCACGATGAGGCTGGCACCAAATCTTTATCTGAAGAACAATCATCAGCTCACGATGGAAAACCAGACACAGAAGATGCAGATAGCAAGGATGTACTCTTACCAGGTGTAAACCTCATATTTGATGGAGCTGAATTGCATCCATTCGACATCAGTGCTTGCCTTCAAGCACGTCAACCTCTCTGGCTCATAGCTGAGGCGTCAGCTGCTTCATCGACCATGATATAAGAGTCCATCCATTCTCGGTTTTATGTTGGTACGTACATATCTGTTTGCTGCAAGGCATGCGTCCCGAAACGGGTGATACGTCAGTCTGAGGACTCTTTGAGGGAAGATTTTGCTGTTCAACGGGCTGCTGTTTTTCTATGCACTCTGGCCAAATGATGCTTTTACAGGAAATGACAAATTGTAACTTATCAACCGAGTCTGGCAGAGCGCATTGCTGAGGCTATTTACATCATTACATGCATCATATGTAAGTACATCTTTTTTTTTCTCTTCAGAATTTAAACATTTTCAACCTGCTCTAAAACTTCCCCTTTTCAATGCTGTTCTTGGGTTATGCTGGGGAATTAACCGGTAGTTTTGGAATGCCCACAATCCACAATCCTTGTTGGATTAGGTCAGACCATCATGCCACTGCCTAAATAGATCCAAAATCTCTGCCTGTAACCATATCAGGTCATAGTTCCATTTGGGACAAAATGTAGGGGAATTTATCGAACTTCTCATGTTAGGCGTGACCAAAATTTGTGGGAATTGATCTTCATCTTGCTCCGTATGTAGTAGGCCTGGTGCCCATGTTCAGTGTAACGCTTCACCTTTACAACGCGCGGAACTATTTTCCTGGAAATAGATTGCTGGAAATGCGTTTTACCTTCTTCTCATCTTCTGCCCTCCATGCGATTTTGTCTAACGCAATGTCATATCTTCACTTGCAGGTATTTTTTATTTTTTTGGCCAACCGATTGTGGAATTTTTTTCCAGTCATCTTGAACGAAGACCTTGATGCTCAAAGGTGCTTACGAGTTCTTTCTTGTGTAAGATTTGCCTGTGATATACATGAGTGTTGTATAGTACTACGTAGATTCCCTGGTCTACTTGTTCGAATGAAAATTTTAGCTAGGAAGGATTTGTCGAGAGTGGATGTATTTAACATATGGGTATTTTCCCACCAATGCGTGCACTCATATTTCACCTCCATATCTCATTTCTGTAGTCAAGAGAGTCAAAGACGTGCAATGTCGATGAAACACACAAATGGCGCATATCACAGTTCCATACTTATGCCTTGTTTGATTCAGCTTAGGATTATTATAATCGAGCTAATATTTGATTCAGCTTAGGATTATTATAATTGAGCTTATTAGGAGTAAGCTGAAACAAACAAAGAGATTATTATAGCAGATTATTATAATCTATAAACCAGATTATTATAATCTAATAAGCATTATTATAATCTAATAAGCTGCTCTAGAGAAGCTTTTTTCAGATTATTGAGTGGCTAAAGACCCACTACCCTTACAAAAAATTACCCACCTATGCCATCAACCAAATAAATAGCTAAGGGCATTATAGACTTTAGCCTTTCAAACCCAATAATCCAACGAACAAACAATTCACAATTCACAGCTTATTCTATGTCGGTTTATTATAATCCAACTTATAGTAATTTAGTTTAATAATCTAGATTATAATAATCATAAGCTGAAACAAACAAACAAACAGGGCTTTAGCCATGAGGAGGATTCGAACTCCAAAAGTACTTTGTTGTGCCATGAAACATAAACATAAACTAAGTAGCTAGCCTTACATCTGGAGTTTTTGCTTGTTCTAGCTCTAGCTAGCTAGCTTACACTAACATTGGGATTGTTTCGAAGGAAGACAAATAAAAGGAACGCGGCGACGGGGACTACACATCATGGGTGCATCTGATGAGAACATTTCCTACAAATCCATAATCCTAAACCCCTCCCGCACTTCAGGCTCGATCAGTATATGCCGGAGAGCAGGCTCGCCGCACTGGAAAGCGCGGCGCCGGTGATGGCGAAATGGACCATGTGGTCGGCGTTCCCGGTGTCCCCCGTCAGCGCCACCGCCACGCCAGCGATCGCGCCGGCGACCGCACTGTTCTTCTGTGTTCATCAGCACAAAACCAGTAGTTAGCTAGCTATCTATGCTCTTCGAGTATCATTCAACAGTCAAAAAGTTTAGAACCCCACTAGAACAGAAGAGTACTAACCCAGTCATGGCACCCTCTGGCCTCTCTCAGGCCGTACGTCAGTCCAGAGTACACCCCGGCCGCCAATCCTGCCAGAAAAGAAAAACAAACAGTATCATAAAGGTTGGTTTGTTCTACTTGGTGAAAAACAAATGATTTTTTTTTTCACAATGATCTATTCGATTTGATTATTTGCACTCACCCCACTGGAAAGCCTCCTTCCCAGCGGATTTTACCTGCGAAAGCACAATAATACATGATAAGAGGTCATCAACGTGAGAAAGAAAAAAATGCAGCTAAACGACGTTGTTAGTTCGGCCACTCACCACGGCATCAAGCGACTTCTGGCCATCATCCCCTGCATGCATCAGCACCACCAGCGTAGAACACATGACACAAAATAGACATGTCAATCTCCGGCTAATAAAACGCACCCAACGTAGTACTATGATCTGTATAACTCAAGAGGAGACTCCGAAATTGCATTTCACCTCTCGAGAAATTGCTCCTCTTGACGGCGTTGTCCAGCCCGGCCGTGTCCCCTCCAAGCCCTGCAGAATTACATTATGTAATTTTTATTATATGCGGCAGTACGTGTACGTGTTTCACTAGCTCCTTACTCCGTCCCAAAATATACCAAAATATAAGTATTTTTGAATCTTGACATAGTCTTCGAGATGATGCTTATTTGATCAATAATATCCATAAAAGTAAAACGTTTTAAATAAAAAAGTTACATATTATGATAGCTTGTTTAATAATAAATCTAGTTTGATTTTGCACTATAAAAAATGCTTATATTTTAGGACGCTAAAAAATGCTTATATTTTAGGAGGGACGGAGCGAGTAGGTAATTAACGTACGTACCTTCGACGGTGACAAAGTAGGCCTCCCGCGAGACGGCCCGCGCGGCCCCGACGCCGGCGGCGCGGATGAAGCTGTCGGCGACGCGGTTGACGAGCGGGTGGCCGAGGTCGACGAGCCACCGCTTGTCCATGCTCGCCACCTCCTCCTTGAGCGTCCAGGTGTCCAGCCTGCTGCTGCTCATCCTTCTCCTTACTCTCTCCACAAGCCTCGCGGCTACGTGCGTGCGTCGAAGCGGTGGTGGTGGTGGATGCGGCGGCGAGCGATGCAGGCGAGACGGTGGTGGTTGCCGGGGGTTGGTATAAAGAGGGCGGGGGAGGAGAGCCACGTGTGTGGGGGCGCGCGGCGACGTGTCCCCCGTCGTGCCGAGCTCTCCGCGCGGGGCGGGGGAAGGCGCAGCTCCCCACGGCGTTTTCCTGCGGGGAGACGGGCGCGTGGCAAGGCGAAGGGCGGTCATCTGCGTGGGCCGGTTTAGCCGGGGGCGCTGCGTGGTGGACCGTGGTGGGTTACTGGGTTGGGCTTTGTCTGGATGGGCTACACCTTTGCAGACCCTGTAATTGGCTAGGAATAAGGCTGAGTTCTTTTTTGGAATAAGTTCACTTTGGGTCCCTCTATTTATCCCCCAGTTTGATTTTTGTCCCTTGACCACAAAACCGGGTATGACCCGTCCCCCAACTTACGAAAACCGGGTAAACGTGGTCCCTCGGCGGTTTTGGCTGACGTGGCGCATACGTGGCTTGTTTGACTAGGTCTCCGTCCCATGTGGCATTGACGTGGCGCTTACATGGCAATTATATCTCAGAAAAATAATAAAAAGCGTGGCCCCACATGTCAGCTGCACACAAAAATTAATTTAAAAATGGTGGGGCCAACGTGGGCCCACATGTCAGCTACACAACAAAATATATATGGTGGGGTCCACATAGGCCCCACATGCCATTCCCTCTCTCCTCTCAGCTCTCTCTCCTCTTCTCCATCGTCGCCACAACGCGCGCCAATAAGAGGACGCCCCTAGCGCCGCCGCTGCCGCCGAGGGGAGCCAGCACGCGTCGGCCTAGGAGGGAGGCGCCGCCGCCGCTCCCGCGGCATCAGCCGCCAAGGCCGCGAGGGAGAGGGATGGAGGCGGCAGAGGCGGCGGCGGGGAGCTCCCATGCACATCGTGAGCACATCGGTGACGGCGCGCGAAGCCGGCGGAGAGGGAGGCGGAAGCGGAGACGACGTCACACGAAGGAGGAGTCGGCGGCGCAGATCGATGCGGCGGCGCAGCAGGAGGAGTCGGCGGCGGTGGGTCCGAGGTCGTGCAGCTCCGGCCGCTACTCCCTCCTCTCCTGTCTCCCGTCGGCCGCCACGTGCCGCTCCTCTGCCATCGACCGCCGCGAGGGGAAGAAGAGAGAGAGCCGAGAGGTGGCCGGCGGGAGCGCCGTCCCAGCGGAGAGGGAGGTCGATAGCAGCGCCGAGAGGGAGGGGGTGAGCTCGTCAGGCCGGCCAACGGGTAGGAGGAAGAAGAGTGGCGGCGCGCGTCGCGCCGGCGAGAGGGCGGCCGACGGGAGCGCCGCGAGGGATGAGGCGAGCTCGTCGGGGCGGCCGGCGGGAGAGGAGCGGCGGCTCGCGGGGGCCGGCTGGAGAGGAGGCCGCGTGCGCCGGCCGACTGGAGGTAGGCAGCGGGCGGCAACCTCACGCGCCACCGCCGCACTCCACCTTTGAGCCGCCGCCTTCCTCTCCCCTCCTCCCCCTGCTCTCACCGCCGTCGCTTAGGCTTCTCCCACGCCGGCTCACTGCCTCCATCCTCCTCCGGCCCGCGGGCTCTCCGCTGCCGCTGTGCCGGCCTTCTTCATGCAGACCGCATAGCAGGAGAGAGAGAGAGAGAGGGGATAGTCGAATAGAGAAGAAAGAGAAGGAAGCATGGGGAAGAAGAAGAGGAGAGAGAGAGAGCCGAGAGGGGAGAGGGAATGACATATGGGCCCCACCATATTTATTTTGTTGTGTAGCTAACATGTGGGTCCACGTGGGCCCCACCGTTTTTAAATTATTTTTTTAGCCGACATGTGGGCCCACGGTTATTTATTGTTTTTTCGAGATATAATTGCCACGTAAGCGCCACGTCAATGCCACGTGGGACGGAGACCTAGTCAAACCTGCCACGTAGGTGCCACGTCAGCCTAAACCGCTATCCAAACTGCCTTAGGACCTTATGTGCTTGGTTTTCATAAGTTGGGGGACGGGTCATACCCGGTTTTACGGTCAAGGGACGAAAATTGGACTGGGCAACAAATAGAGGGACCCAAAGTGAACTTATTCCTTCTTTTTTCTTTTGAGTTGTCAACTCACTCCGCTCGTTTTTCATGTACACACGTTTTTCGAACGGTTAACAGTACAGGTTTTTTTTAAAAAAATATATGAAAGTTATTTTAAAAAATCATATTGATCCATTTATTAAAAAAATTAGCTAATACTTAATTAATTATGTGCTAATGAACCGCTCTGTTTTCTGTACCTCCTGAATACAACCTAGGTCTATTTAACTCCCTCATCTTTTGCACCTAAATTGAATCGCCTCCCTTAACCGTAAAACTAGGTATAATGTCCCCCCATCTTTGAAACCTGGTCCAAATTAGCTCCTTCGGTGGTTTGAAAGCGATTTTCTACTGACGTGGCAGGTTGGCTCGTTGAATCAGCAGGTAGGACCAACATGTCAAAGACTTCCTCCCCATCTCATCTTCTTTCTCACCTCATCTCTCTCCTCTCTCTTTCCTCTCCTCACTCTTCCCTCGCACGCGCCAACAGCCTTGTTGGGTGTCAAGCTCTCGCACCCGGCCAACCTCGCTTCAACACTTTGGCATTGCCCACGAGCTCCCCATCCACAAACAGGCTCGGTAGGACTGGCACAACGAGCGCCCAACACTGGCGAGGGCACCCCAACAGAGGTCGAGCGAGCCCCTAACTGCGATGCAGAGGAGGCACAATGCCATTTGGTTGTCAGCAGACGCGCCTGATGGATGATGCGACAGAGGAGAGGAGGAGCTTGTGGGCGGCGGCACAACAGACGATGACGAGGTTGGCACCACGTAAGCCAACCATGACACCACTGTTAACATCAAAAAATCTGGTACGGTACTTTAGTAGATTCGGTTAAAGAAAGAACCGATTAGTAGATAGAATTTTATCAAGCCAAGCTGAATTCAAAAAGGAATCGTGAAGAGCACGGCAAAACAGTTTGATATTATTAGTATATCTCTTAAATAGGTAGGATTAGTTATTTTTATTTTTTTAGGAAATATTATCTCGTACCTGATATGAACTTGTATCTGTCCAAGGGTATAAATATATACCTGGGGTCTTTATAATATATCCACATATCAATACAATAAAATTTCGGTGTATCACCAACCTTTTGACGGGTTCCTTTCTTTAGCGGGGTTGCATCGGTTAAGTTCGATCTTCAGCGAGAAATCAAGTTTGGGGCCTTGCTATCAAGTTGGGCTGCAAAAGTTTAGTTCGATCTGCAGCGAGAAAGTAAGTTCCATCAACTTTGCTTGCATCAGCTTGGTTAGAACTTCCTCGGTTAGGTCCGATATTCTAAGTAAATTGTTACAAGCGTTGAGCGTTGTCTATCAGATATATCGATTCTATCTTTAACTGCATCGATGTTTAGAGTTGCATTGGCTTAGTTAGGACTTCCTCGGTTAGGTCCAATATTCTAACTAAGTTGGTATTTCTCCAATCACACTGTTGTTTTAGATTGGTTCGATATATCCATCATGTTTGTGTAGATCTATCAGCTAAATAGGTTTTTCTTATTATCTTCAATCTTATTCTACACTGTCTCGGTTTGATTCGATCATTGCTAATAAGTTTGATTTCACAGTAGGTTTTTCTGCAGTGTTTCATCAGGGTTCTAATCAATGAGTTATCATTATTTTAAGCTTCAATTATCAGATGTATTGGTTATTTAGCCGATATACATTAGAATATACCTACATCGGACCTCCAACTGATGTATGTTTTAACCATCGGACCTACATCTACCATACTATATCAGTACCGACCAATTGGTTTATTGATGATTATATATAATTTAATTCTAGCCGATTATAGCATGAATATCATTGTTTATCTGATTATTTGAATTTACATTGGATCAATAGCTGATTGATCAAAACCGTGTCAACATTGGCTGACCTCATTACATCACATCGACCTATTGACCGATCGGCTTCTTGATCTTGTACTATCTATATATCTATCTTGTTAGTCGTAGGATCAAACTAACTGGCACGTCCGAACCTTATCAAGATTTAGGACCTCCACTGGGGCTAAGCAGATATCCCAAGCCTTCATATGTCATGACAAATTTCACGGCAACAACCACCCAAATATCCCGAGGCTATCAACGCGTGGGCGCTCATGGCCAACCTCGAGGAGCACTCGATGCTCCTAGTCGCCATCTATAACAGGTTTGTTGAGCTTTACCTCACGTGTGGCGATATCGCCTCCACGCGGGCACTCCTCAATACGTTCCCGACCAAACGACACGTTGTTTCGTGCATAGCCATAGTGACCGGTCACGCGAGGCCCGAGTTCTTGGATGAGGCCATTCTAATGTTCTTCGGTCGATCGGGACATTGTTTCCTCCACGACCATGGTGACGGCAATGCGAGGCAGTTCATGGATGAGCACATGCTATTGTTCTTCACCACAGTGGATGACCGCAGAGTGTCCATCAACATTCTCGGCATGCGTGCAGATTGAGGACCTCATGGTGGGGCAGTCGTCCTCAAATCTGGGCAGAGAGCGACCTCACTAGCCATTGGGTCTTACCCGTTGCTACATGCCCCTTTGGCTAACAACGTGTACAGGAACCGCCTCCGTCCCAACCGTTGTTGTGCGGAAGGGAGGTTTGCTGCGATCGGGGAGAGAGAGGAAGAGATCGGCGACGGGGCGATGATGAATTGGCGAGGAGGAATTGGCAGCGGCCGAGGAGGAGAAAGAAGGAGATTTCAAGCATGGTGAGGTCTTGGCGGCACATTGGCGAAGGGAAATAGTACAAGGGCGAGCACGTGAAAGTGAGGATGCGGTCTGCAAGGCGTGGATGGCCGGTGGCGACGTGCGGTAGGGAGGATAGGCGCTGGCGCGGTTGTCAGGGCAGTGAGGGATGTTGTAGACTTGTGGTTGTGCCATCGGCCTCGGGTAGGGGTGGAAACGAGCTGAGCCAAGCCTAGCTTGGCTTGGCTTGCAGTGGCTCGCAACAAACTAGGCTCGGTTTAGCTCGGCTCAAATAGGGAAATAAGCTAAAATTTGAGCTCGGCTCGGCTTGTTTCCTGGCTCGAGCCTGCTCGCAAGCCTTTATGTTGAAACACCTCTTCATATATATTTTGTAATTATTAAAAAAGTAAGAACAAATCATGAACATGTAAAATTTAAATAAGTTTATATATTCAATTCTTCAAAATCTTAATGATAAATTTCAAGTTGACAAATAATAACTTCATGAAAAGTAAAATAATCGATATAAACACATGATGGCCTAGGCTCGCGAGCCAAAACAAGCAGCTTGCGAGCCAGCTCGGGCTCGGCTCATTTCAGCAACGAGCTAAATAGGAGGCTTGGGCTTGGCTCGTTTGGCTTACGAGCCGAGCCAAGCTAACCAAGCTCGAGCCAAGCCTGAGCTGAGCTCATGAGTCTGAGCTTTTTCTTCACCCCTAGCCTCGGGGGAGGGATGGAAAATAGAGAAGAGAGGGGGCGGGGAAGAGATAGAGGAGATTCGTTGACATGTGGGTCCCACCTGCTGATTTAGTGAGTCAACAGCGGTTAACCTGTTATGGTAGCAGAAACCGCTTACCAAACTACCGAACAAGTCTATTTGCACTGGTTTTGAAGATGTGAGAGACGTTATACCTGGTTTTTTTTATTGAGGGAGATGATTCGATCAAGACCAAGAGATGAGGGAATCGAAATAGACTTATGCCACAAAATTAAGCGGGCCTAGCAGATGTTGCAGTTTAGTGACGGGCGGCACCTCAATAGGCTGAACAGTGTTGATGCCACTTACAGTCCGTTACCGACCAATTCAGAATCTTCAATTGAAACACTGGGATTAAAACTTTCGACAGTGCTATAGACCCGACATATAAGGACTATGTTTAACGTAGCTCTGGATACGACATCTGTTGAAGCTGGGTATTGTATATTTCTATTTTAGAAGATGAAATATACAATATCAAACCAGTTTAATTTAAGTTATAAACTCCAAATCTAATGTGAATCTAGAGTTTGAATATGTACCAAACATGATCAAAGTTTGTTATGTACCACACACAATATTATAGCAAAATATACAATTCATACGATCAGAAATTTCAATATTAAAATTTGAACAACTTGAATTGTTCCTGCCGATATACTAGTAATCGGTTAGGACCTCTGGACCGATAACCGGGCTATCTGATCAGTTCAGAGTAATAGAATGCTCTAACCTCATATAAGAGTTACGTGATGATGAAATTGAAGATGACATAAATATTTTGTCCTTAGGAAAGTAACTAAATTTCAATTTCCAAGCATGTTGGAGATACAAATGTATCTCAAAATGATGGGTAACCAAGAAGATTATGTATTGTATCATTTTTGAGATATAAAGGTACCTGAGAGGAATGTGTCCTATAGGGTTAAAAAAAACCAACTTTGTTGTCTAACATGATTTATTAGACTGCAATAGACATTGATTTTGCGTGTTAGGGGTGCATTTATGTAGATTGGGGGTTTTATTTGGGAAAATATGTGGTGATAAACCTAAAATCTACAAGTTGGATAAAAAATAGACATCTAAGATTTATCCACATCATCACGAGTAAAAAATTTACTCACAGATTTACTCACGAGTGGTGACGTGGACGGATCTCAGATGTCCATTTTTTTATTGAACAATAGTTTTTAGGTTTCCACTACATATATAGTTTCCACTATACTCCCTCCATACTCATATTAGAAGTTGTTCTGGGCTCTTGGCCTCTTTGCGTGTTTTCGCAAAGGATGTCGTCGCTCGCCCACGGGGTCGCGTTTGGACGCGATTGCCCCTGCGCTCGCTGTCAGTTCCGCTCGCAATCACGTGTGCGTAGGAGTAATTGCATCGCCTCGTTTCCCGGTAGGCGATTCGTACCCACGACCTTGGGACACACACCTCGCTGCACTAACCACCTAAGCTATGATTGTTTCTCGTATGGAATGCATTCACAAACCCTATTTAATAGGTGCAGACAGTGAAAAATACTCTCTAATTAATCACTCCTTGGTATGCACAATCATATCCTAAACGACTTCTAATATGAGTATGGAGGGAGTATATATTTTCTCTGCTTATTTCGCTCTCACTTTACCACGCCATGTACTTTAGAAATGCCATAGAATTTTAAGCACGTGTTTGCTTTATTGCTACACCACTCGTGATACACTCTCTTAACCTTAGGGCAACGTGTCATATTGTCAAATTTGTGGTTATTCATACTTTGAGCTCATGTTGTAACTTATCTAAGCTTAGTTGTGGCAGGCTTAGGTAACAACCAAATATGATTATACTTATCGAAATTGTCTGATGATTCCTTTTCATGGGATTCAAGATGATTGGCGATTGTCATGATCAGGTCCTGAACTTCGGGGAATTCTGTCATTGTGCCAATTCCTTCCTTTGTCTCCATCTCAATGTCTTAAGAATCATGTATACAGCTTGTAAAGCGCGTCACCACTTGCTGCTTTCTGGGGAAATTCGTACTACTAAACCCCAAGGACCATATGGATCACATTACGCCTTCTTTTTTTTTGAGCAGTGAACTTAGTAGACGTGGTCCTCTTGCATCAGGCTGTAGCGCATTTCAGACGTAATGCTCCTGATATTGCAAAACTCCCGAGTCCTGATTGCACTTTGGCCATCAGGAGTCTTCTCTTTATTCTTGCAATATTTTAAAATCGACATGCTCCACTTGCAATCCAATATCACGACACCATTTCTTTTTTGTCTTTCATTTGCTGATTGTTTCCACAGTTTGGTGGTTGCAATATTCGGTGCAGATGTGCTAATGTTCACACCAGATTTTTCTTAACTGATATGAGTAGTGTCACACCAAAGTTAGCGTATTGCATCTTGTACTGATTTGTTTGACTTATTGCTTTATTACTGTGATCCTACTTTCTCAATTGCACGCTACTGCCATGTAAAGGATGCCATGATGCTGATGCTGCCGTGTAACTAATCTTGTCAGGATCATTTGGTCTGTAGGAATATGATGATGCTAAGATTCAGCCTCTACTCTTTCCTGAAACAGCTCTCTTGATAAGAATATTAACACTACCAAGCACTAATTTCTTGTTAAATGTTCAGTTCTGTCGTCACCATATGTTAAGCTTGGGTGCTCATATGAAGTGTTATATTTTATTATACTACTCTGTATATAGTATTTATGTGGTCCTTGCATGAATTGTAACAAGCTCATCTTTTGAAATGAAAAGGAAATTTAGTGGGACAGTGCGTGGATATGATCAGGATTACCACCGCGTGTGTGCTTACTTTTATATCCCTCGGTGACAGTGTGACATCAGGAAATAACGGGTGGGAAGATGGATTTTACATTTGTTTGTTTGATGCTGTCTCGTAACTGGTTTTGTGTCCCCATCGGTTGTTACGACTCATTATAAGTATCCGGCAAACAATGAAGCCCTTGTTGTCTAGTTGGCAAGAAAAAAAAATTGTTCTGTTTATTTGGAGGTGGATTATGACATGATTCTGGTAGTACTCAAAGCTCTGGTGTAATCATCTTTGCAACAAATGTGGACATGTACATATAGTGGAAAGCTTATGAACAATGTTTATTTTCCTTTTCCCATCAGTAATAATACAATTTTGCAGTCTTTTCTACAGGAGAACCACTTCATTCTTTGTTCACCGGACAAGAATGGCATGTTGATTTTGTTCTTCTTGACCATGCAACCTGTGCATTCTAGCTGCATTTCTCCTTTGCTCCTGCAGCAAGAAAAGGAAATGTTAAGGACTTCTTCAGTAAGAAAGTACGTCAAAGTTCAGAGGTTGCAAGTAATCTAACCTGGAGCAGCTGCAGCTGGTATTGCCTCTGACCCTTCTGAACCGTGGAGATGAGCCTCATGACGACGTAGAACGGCAGCAAGATTCCACTAGCCCGGAGCAAGTATATCTGCAAAGCAAACCAACACATGTTCATTGCGTCAAACCACTCTGAAATTCTGAATCACCAATCCATTTTTTATATATGCATTGGATAGCATTCAGATGGGTCGTCCAATTAAACTCACCGTCAAGAGGCTGAAGGCGTACTGGTGTGCAGCTCCGACCGTCACGACAGCGACGAGATGCCTCAGCAGCAGAACAGCCGTGAACTGCATGAACAAGCAGACAAAATTCAGAGTTTCAGACAACACACACTGCACTTGCACTGCACATATCTGAACCTGACGACGTGGTTTCAGACTTTTCAGTTTCTGTCCAAGTCGCGTACCGTGACGGCCACCGATCTGCACCAGGTGGCGCTCCTGCCGGCCGCTCCGGCGCACTCGGCGTAATCCTGCTCGCCGATCAACGGCGTGTCCTCCGGCTCGTAGCTTGGCCTGGGAACCTCAAGGCTCTCTCTGCATCAAAAGAAAAGAATAAAGATTCAGTTAGGAGATGGTTGTTGTGCACCTTAACATGGCTGAGCTGAACATTTGACTCTGAATTTCATCCAAGATTCAGTTAGGAGATGTTGGTTGTGCAGCTGAGCATGGCAAAACTGAACATTTGACTCTGAATCCCATCTTTTTCTTATCACATTGCATTGCATTTATGCATTGTGAGTTGTACAGTTGTATAGATGAAGGCACAGTTTGACTCATTTGAAAGGCTGCTGTAGTAGAGGACACGGTTTGTAGTTTGCAGGACTGTATTGATGTGCAAGGCATCGGCATCTTAGCTGCCATCTCATTCTCATGAAGGAAAAATGATTAGGACTTGGGTTGTTGGGAGGGACATGGCTAACGGAAACAGCTAGGCTGGACCCACCTGCCAGCCACACACACCATGATCCACAAGATGCTGCAATGTGTAGCTGCCAAAGAGAATGAGCCGGACCACTATGCCTTGATTGCAACACGATGCATAATTGTTGTTCGTTTTGCGTGGCATGATTTCTTCTACGCATAAAAAATCTGAAATCCTATCTGGCAATTAAGATGATATCAGAAAATTCAGAATGTGCGTGTTTGTTCGGTTGGTATGTGGGGGCAATGAGGAGATTTGTGGATAGGCTTGACATCCGTGTTGGAAGCCTGGAATTTCTTTCTTTTGTTTATGATTACAACCAGTCCATCCATCGTTGAATTTGCTACTATCTCTAGAATAGTGTTCAAGTTCTTTGTTGATTCTCCAGCTGAGCCAGCCAGAGCCGTACGGGTGGTTGATGACAGTTGCATAGCACTAGCTACCAACCAGAGTACCAGACACTAACTCAACATTCACCTTGTTCTATAATCTACAGTGCAAATTCCCAGCTATCAACGTGAAATATTGTGAATTCCAGAGGGAAGAGAGGCTCACCTGATGGTCACTGCGACATGGGCAGGTTGAGCTTTCTTGGGAGGAGCAGTGTAGCCTGGTTCGAAATTCTGACAGCAAAAAAACACACTGTCGTTAAACAAAGGCAAGTACTCTACTGTTGTCCCAAGCATGCACAGAATTCGATGATGTTATGATTACTCTAGTCTAAGTTCATTTGCCTAAAGTAAAATTTTGGGCACGCAATTGTACTTCTTGTGGGTAAAAAGGTAGACTTGCTTAGTTTACTCTCAAAGAAATCTCCAAGCCCAGTCTTTATAAAAAGTGTTTCTACTCATACATGCCATTGCAATACTTCGTTGAAAAGATTAAGAGGAAAGATGACAAATTTGATAGCCAATAATCTTTTCTGGCGCGGCATTCGTGGTGAAAATGGAAACTTTCATGGATAAAACAGTAATAGTAAATTTTAACATTGATCAGGCAGAGAAAGTTATACTACACAAGAAACCAACAATTACGACGATATTTTCATCACAGAATAGAGAAAGAAACGAAGGCTGGATTGATCAATCGATCAGAACACAAACCTGAAGGCAAATCTCGCAGAGCGTGCTCCCCTTCTCATCGCACCATCTCTGCACACACCCCCTGTGCGCGTACTGCAGAGAATCACGAAAAAAACATCAGGATTCAGGGTAATTATAAGGATTCAGGATGAACCCGGCGAACTGAAAGGATCAAAAGACCTCAAGAAACCAGCAAGAATTAATCCATGTGAAAGAAAAAAGAAGAGAAAACTCAGAAGAAGAAGAAGAAGAAGAAGAAGAAGAAGAAGAGGCAATCACCTTGAGGGAGCCAGAGCATCCGCAGGGGGACTCCATGGCGGTGCACCCTTCCTCCTCCTCCTCATGGCAGATCCTGCACTGCCTCATGGCGCAAGAACAGCACACCTCATCTCTCTCCATCTCGTCTTCTTCTTCCTCCTCCTCCTCCTCCTCTTCCTCAACCTTCCTTCTCTCTCGCGATTGGTTGCTCCTCTGCTACCCCTCTGTTTTTTTTCTCCCTCTGCTTCTCAGAATGGGGGTGGCTATAAATAGGAAGAGAAGCGAGAGCAGCTCACGCAGATGGAGAGAGGCCGAGAGGAGGAAATCCGAATCCGAGTGGTGCGGGATGTGGGCCCCACCTGCCAGTGACGGAGTGACCCGGCCAGCCGTCCGGGGAACGGCCACGGCAGCTCGTCGCTTGCCCTGGTCCTGCACGACAGGCATGGCCTCAATTAGCCTCTATTTTTTTTTGGGGGGGGCTCATGCCCGCTACTAGTGCAGTTCATCCTTGGATTTCGATTGGACCAGCAGTCCAGCACCGGGATTGATCGATCCGGGGGGCCAGCATGTGTACGCGAATCAGATTGTTCGTCAGTGAATTGCTTGTCATGTACTCCCTTCGTATTCATAAAAAAAAGTCATGTAAGATAATATTTAAATATAAATTATGAATATTCTCGAGTTATTGAGTTTGAAAATGTAAAAATTACATAAATAGATTTATCTTGAAGAATAATCTCATAAAAATATACATATATCACTTTTTAATAAATACTTTTATAGAAATAAGAAGTTAAAGTTGGGTTTTAGAGAAGTACACGGAGGGAGTATATATGTACATGTGCAGCAGGTAGGTACCAGTAGTACTGAATGGCTGCTTTTTGCAATGTCAGGTTGTGTTCTTTGATGAGATTTATTACAGAGAAATTTATTTTCAGAAAAGAGGTTTGTTTAAGAAGAGTGGCCGTTGGAGTTGAGATTAATTAAGTATTTAAATGGAGAGGTTATAAAGTTAATCTTTTTCCCGGGCCTATTGGAAACATTTCTAGCTGAGCCTAAAATGTCAACAAGAAAGGGTTGCTGTTTCATTTTTCAGCTGATGAAAATGGTTTGCTGTTGGCGACCAACCGAGATTCCAAGAAGTCTCGGTTTTTGCAGGTGAACAAACCATCGGTCGTAGGCTCACAATCCCACAGGCTGATGTCTCTTCGTTCCAGCTAATCTGATAGGGTGTCGATTACACAAAAACACGCGGATACATGTGCATTCCAGTGTTAATCTAACGGACGTATTCCAACCGTGTTTTAGCTGAATATATATTATTCTGACAGCCTTTCATCAATTCATCATCAGACCCAACGCAGGATGTCTCCATTCCTTAATTAGTTCCTAATTGCTGCTAGATATAGCGAGACCTTTGGCCAACTCTAGCGTCGTGGGACCCACTAATTAACCAGCCACGAGGAAATTAGTAGATGATGAGATGCTATAGTTAATAATCTGTTCAATTAGCTTGTGGTAGATTAATCTATAGGATACATCTTGTGGTAGCTAGGATTAGGAGCCTGCATGACAGTGTATCCAAATTGGGAAGAAGCTAGAAAGAGTTGGCATGCAGCCAACTAATGTGATCTGCCAAACCAGCTAATTTAGGGGCAAATGTAGAGCACGTCAAAGAACACCAGCTACACCTACAAGCACGCACATACACCAGGGACAATTAATCCTAGCCGAGGAAGATAGGGGAATTATGCACAACTGGACATGGGGGTAGATACATGGTAGTAGTGTTAGTGTCATCCAACTATCAGGGCATTTGACTGACCTACTAGCTAGTTAGTGTTCTACTAGCTAGTTTATCATGGTATTATATACTCCCCTGTTTTTTAATAGATGACGTCGTTGACTTTTTTTTTCATATGTTTGACCATTCATCTTATTTAAAAATTTTATGTAAATGTATAAGACATAAATCACACTTAAAATACTATGAGTGATAAAATAACTCATAACAAAATAAATTATAATTACGTAAATTTTTTTAATAAGACGAACGGTCAAAAATTTTTTTAATATGACGAACGGTCAAATATGTGAGAAAAAGTTAACAGCGTCATCTATTAAAAAACGGAGGTAGTATTAAGTTAGGGTATCTATATTAGAGGCCAAAGCTAGCTTTAGCCTTTAAGAAAAGGAGAGGAAATTAAGTAGTGTAATTAAGCTCGAGGAGGAGGATCCTGCAGCCAGCTGTAGCGCCGTGTGGATTCTCTTATTCGGTAGTTTCTGCATTTATCGAATTGTTGTCCTACGTATTGTTTGATCTCTCGATTGTTTCAATCGATCTGCCAAGTTTTTTTCAATCTCTTATTCGATTGTTGGAGCACATGTTAACAGTTTCGGATCACAGCTGCTACACCCTTTTCTTGGTAAGTTGTGACAAGATTCCAATTTATTTCTTTCATGAACTAATCAGATATTTGTGCTTTTTTTCTAAAACACGGTACGACTAATATCTATGAACAAAAACCCTAATTTTATAAGCATTTTTAAAATACTGAATCAATATATTTTGAGATTTCTAAAGTTATCATAGGCGTCTCGCTGTTAAAGGGTACATCGTCTAAAAAAATAATATTAAATATAAGCACCCACGTTAAGTCTATAATTTAAGCTCTACCAGTAGATTTACCATAAAAAAGTATAACGCCAGATATTTGCTCCTTCTACGTAACGGAAACAGAACTATGTGTAATGGACAGCAGTTCGTTGGGAGCAGACATACGAATGATATATTGATTATTACATCACCCTATCAGGCAATGGAATTTGAACATTTTTCTTAAAATAATTCGTGGCAACGCCAGTTTGGAATTGGAAAATGTTAGGAGGAGCACTAGTGGAACGCGCCCGCCGTCCAGATATCGTCTGTCCGCTGATGACACGTCATCGCGCGGTGCCGCCACCGATCGATAGCGCGGCCGCTCGCTGTGCCGTGCGTGGTCAGGGAAATGGAATGTTCTGCCGAGGAGGGTGACGTGGCGCGCGTTTCTTCTGGACATTTGCGACGGTGGCGTTTTGACCGCGTGCGCTGCCGTTCAGCCTGGGCGCCCACGTGTCCCGACGACCAAAGGCTAGAGTTGGAACTTTTTACGCTTACGTTTTCATTTCCTCTTCAGAGTCAATCGTTGTAGTGATCTGAGTAATATAGAGTAATGTAGGGTCTGTTTGTTTTGGTTCCAATTTAGTAGCAAGTGTATGTTTGATTTGCTACCAAATTCTACCCACAATAGTTCAAATTGAATACTACTTAATTTGGTAGCGCCAAATTTTACCAATATTTTAGCACTACCAAGATTTTGGTAGGGCAATTAAATTGGCTCCAAATCAAACAAGCCCATAGTAAGATTCTAATTTTAAATTTTTATATGAACGGATTCTGGATTAATATTTAAGATATTAAAGTGAGGTAAGTTTTCAATTTAAAAGACTGCATATATATAATTGGATATATATACCAGGTAAAAGTACCCTTCTCTAGAAAAATATTCACTTGCGGAGTATGAAAAAGGAATTAGATAGCGCCATTATTTGTTTTTTCACTGACAAACATATATGTTGTTCCCCCTTATCTCTAGACCCTCGGTCAATCCACAATCCAGGGCCCAATATGGGCAAGATCGAGCCCATCCCGTGCTAGAAAGGGTGAAGGCCGGCCCAAATACAACACATGCGAGTACCATATCCGGTTGTGCCAAACGTGCCATAATAACAAGGAATAAGTTCACTTTGGGTCCCTTAGTTTGTAGGTATGTCCAGTTTTCGTACCTTGGTCGCAAAACCAGGTATAACAGGTCCCCAACTTATGAAACCAGTGCAAATGTGAAAAAGCTAATGGGCGATCAGTCATGCGTGCCCCTCCCCACGCGACTGGACACGTGTCGCACGTGGAGAGGGGCGGCGGACGCGCCGCGCGAGAGGAGGGAGTAGCGAGTTTTCCGGTTTTTTTCCTTTTTTTGTTGTTTCTGTTCGGTTGTTTTTTTCCTTTTTCCCCTTTTTTTCTCCGTTTTTCTCGTTTCTTTTCGGTTTGGTTTTTTCTTTTTTTTTTCGGTTTCTCTTCTGTTTCTTTTCCCCCGTTTTTTAAAGATGCATGAATATAAAGTTTGTATACGTATGTATGTAAAGTTTGTATTTGTACGTATGCAAAGTTTCTATACGCGTATGTAAAGTTTGTACTTTATATACGTATGTATTTTCTAGTTTTTATTTTATTTTTTAATACGTACGTATATAAAGTTTGTATATATCATATACAAAGTTTGTACACATCGTATACAAAGTTTATACACGTGCATATTTTTTATACATAAAAAATATACATATAAATATAAATATATATATATATATATATATATATATATATATATATATATATATATATATATATATATATTATAGTAGTAATACTAATAGTAGTATAACAACAGTAGTAGTAATAGTAGTGTAGTAGTAGTACTGGTCGCGCGCCTGGGGAGCCGCGCGACTAGTCGCGTATTAGGGCTCCTCATGCAAATGAGGTTCCTCGGCGGTATTATCTCTAAATTTGGCTGACGTGGTGCCTATGTAGCTCTTTTAACTAGGTCTTCATCCCATGTGTCATTGACGTGGTTCTTACTTGGCAATTCAATTAAAAAAAAACTAAAAGCAACAAATTGAAAATAAAATAAAAACAAAATATGTGGGTCTCACTTCTTCAGTCTCACCCCTCTCTACCTCTGTCTCCTTCAACCACGCCGGCGGGAGTTAAGTGGTGGGCGGCAGGCGGCGGGATAAGAGCGGCGTGCAGTTGCCGACGGGCAAAATGAGAGGAGCAACACGTGGCACGACTCCATCCTAGTGCAGCCCTCCACAACCGGCATGCTCCTCATCTGTATTGTCTCCTCCTCCGCGACCACGCGTGGTGACGGACCCAACGCTGCGAAGGCATCCCTACAACCCCACCACCACCGTTGCCATCGTTGTTGGAGGTCGGAGTAGCTAAGGTTCGGTGACAGAGAAGAGGGGAAAGAACCGGAGGAGGAGGAGGCCCCAGCGGGCTCCCCGATGCCGAACCCTTCCACCGCCACCGCCGCCGCCCTGGAAGAATCCAGCGAGAGGAGGCCCCAACGGCAGAGGCCGCCTGTTGACTCAAAAAATCAACGCGCAGCGGTCTGGGAGATCTGCTTAACTCCAGTGCAGGTCCGGGAAAATTG